GAAAAGGGTACTTGTGTATATATATTTATATTTCAAGAACGAGAGATAAAATACGAAAATTAGAAGAAATAGAATGCGAATTCTGACAATGCATGTACTCATTCTCAAAGGAGAATAGACATATATTACAACTATATATATATATATATATATATATATATATATATATATATATATATATATATATATATATATATATGGCTAGGTGATCATGTGCAACTACCATGATTTATGTTTGCATGTGCAAGGTGTTTCATTACCTAGCTAAGAGAGTTGTCAATTAATTAATTAATTGAAGAAAAGTTGTTAGTTGGTTATAATCAACAAACTAGTGAAACACGCTTACACATGCCATCATGAATCATGTTGGTTGCACATCATCAAATTAATGTTTTAATTATTGAGATGAAGCATGGATCCTACCCAGGGCCGGCCCAAGCCCAAGGCGAGCAAGGCCGTCGCCTTGGGCCTCCGAAAAATCTAAAACTTTTAGGGTCTCCAATTTTGTGAAATGTGTATATAAATATTGAGTTACAACATTTTACTAACAATTTCGTTCATCGTTGTTGGCCAAGTGATTCTCATATGTTTGTATATGTTGCGTGTTCGATTCCTGACTTATCCGTCTAGTTTTTCTGTTTTGTTTATTTTTTTTTTTTTTTTTTTTTTTTAATTTCCCTCTTTTTTTTCTTTTTAATTTTATTTTTAATTTCCCTCTTTATTTTTCCTTTTTAATTTCCCTCTTTTTATCTTTTTAATTTTATTTTTTAATCTCCCAAATTTTCCAGCTAAGAATTAAGTAAGTGCTCTCTCTTTGTTTTGTTTATTCTTTTTCTTTTTTTTTTTTTTAATTTTATTTTTAATTTCCCTCTTTTTTTTCTTTTTAATTTCCCTCTTTTTTCGTTTTAATTTTATTTTTTAATTTCCCTCTTTATTTTTTCTACACTTTTTTTACCTTGTTGTGTTTATATTTTGTGTCTAATAATTTGGCTCTTTTGTATTATATTGTATATTTTGGAATTTCATAGGTTGAGTATCTATCGACACAATAAGCAATAAAAATGTTTGAGTTGGAATATTAAAAAAAATCACAAACGGAGCTCTGAGATTTAAATAAATTATCTTGCAAAAATATGTTGAATATGAAGTTGAGGAATTGTGGTTGAGAAATGAGTTGATAAGTGAAAACAAAGTTGGTTATTAAGAGGGCCTCATTTTCGTTTCTCGCCTCGGGCCTCCGAGACCATGGGACCGGCCCTGATCCTACCATAAACTCACTTGTACAATAATTAACAAAAACAAAAACAAAAAATTATCCAAGATTCGAATTGTTTGGTCCAAATTTGCCATGAAATAAGCAAACATGATTTTGACTATTGAAAGAAACTTTCTAGTCATGACACGTACACAGAGGCTTTGTCGGTAGCCTTCGAAAAACACATAACATGGAATATATATTAAAAATATAAGTCGAAGTTTAATCAAGAAAAACGATTATTAAATTTGTGACCGATCAACAAATCAAATTAACCTTTCATCAATCAAGTGTGATCAGATGAGAGATTCATAATTTAATTTATACATATATAGATCCCAGCGACTCAGGGGCGGAACTTCTAAAGGCAAGGGGGCTAAGGTCCCCCAACAGTAATTGGTTGGTATGATAACTTTTATCTACTATCTATATATATATAAAAAGACAATACCTTGCTTCATTTTCTGACACGTGGCAACTTAGGGTTTCTAACCCTAGGGCAAGTTTTATAATTTTTACTATTTTTGGGTGTAAAAATGAAAAACCCATATTTCATCTCCCCTAAATCTATCAGCCGTTTTTCATCTCTCGTCTAATTTTTTATCCCTAAATTTCTCTTTCAAAACCCACTCCTTCAACTGCACAAACCGCCGATTGAAATCAGTTTTCTTCATCAGTTTTAGATCTTCTCATCTCAAATTTCATAGTCTGATTGAAATCAATTTTCTTCATCTATTTTAGATCTTCTCATCTCAAATTTCATGTCTCATCTGTATATCAACACAAATTCTCACACAAATCTTTCTAACAATTATTACTTTCCACAAAATTGAAGCTCTAAAATCCGCCGGTCAAAAGTTCAACAAAAATCGTCCGAGAGTCGGAGTGAAGGACCGTTTGCTGCCAGCGAAAGCCACTACCAACGGTGGTTGAAATTTCAAGTAAGAAATTTTTCTCAAGAGGTTAGTGATAGTCGCATTTTATGTTCAAATTTATTGGGTTTTTTTTCAGGATCTTTGTGTTTTTATTTGTCTGGTAATGACGTAGAATTTTGTCTCCAGGCACGCAGTTGTCTTCTTTCTTCCAAAAAATGTGATAGTATATCGACATAATTGAAGGAGTTTGGACGGAATTTGAGGATTTCTTGCTTATCACAGTATGTATTTTAATTTAAGGAGTTCTTGCTTATCATTTGAGGTTTCTTAATTCGCTTTCTTTTTTTTTTTTTTTTTATATATTTTAATTGGGGTTTGCATCAATAGTAGTTTTATATGATGTTATTAAAGTTCTGGGGCATCGATGATGACGATGCGGTTTCTAGGACATCTTTTTCATTTTTTTTTTGCATGATATTTCTGATATTACTATTATCATGATATTTGTTACACGGTTATTGCCCCTGTTTTTAGATGATAATAGTGAACATTTTCTCAACTTTCTGATTGTTTGATAGTGAATATGTGTAGTATTTCCCCTGTTTTTAGATAATATATATTATTTTTAGATAATATATACTTCGAAAATGTATAATATTTTTCAAATTGACAATGTTCCTTCATTAAATTTATAGTCCTTAAAGTGATGAAGTAATGATTAATTTCTATGAAATGAAGATGAAAGATGACCGTGACAAGGTTATTAGCTTGATTCAAACTAAATTAAGCATTTTTGACAACTTTTGTTACAAATTGTGTTCAGTTTTCTCCCCCCGTTAAATCAGTGGTATGAAATGTTTTGCAAAATCGGTAGTGTTGGCTTGTGTTCTTTTCCCATTTCATGTTGAACCGTTCGTTTTTCAGAACTTATTCGCTCTCGCACTATAGTTATATAATTGGCAAGGAGTTAATAATTGAATTTGTTTTACCAATTTTGGATCTGAATGATGTCTAACCTGATCATTTCCAGCATGCATATGGTGATTTATATCTTTCAATTATCTCATCATCAAGTACGTGTAACTGATAGATAGTATTGTGGTGATTTTATAAATTCCACCCATTTGATTTTATTGGTATGTGATAATTTTTGATAATCTTATATATAAATGGAATTACCAGTTGGGTAATCCTAGGGCCATTTCTGAGATTGAATATCGACCATAAAGCATATACATGTACACCACCTCATATGATTTATGCAAAGAACATTCATATATTGCGGATTTTGTGGGAAAAAGAACACATAATTAAGTATAAATTGAGACAAGTAAAAGAGATGGTGTTGGCAGTTTAGTGGGGTTTAGGTTTTTTTTAAGGATCAGAGGGTGTTTGGGGTTGGGGGGTCTCAGGTGAATTGAAATTAAGAAATCAAATAAAATCGAAATGAAGAAGGTAGGATAAGATGGCTATGGTTTTGTTTTCTTCTTTTACATTGTCTTTTGTTCAAATGTAGAGAGAAGTAAGCTATATTAATTGATCGAATTATCGTTTAGTATTGTAATTATTTGAGGCAAAATCTCAGGGCAAATAAGCTACACATTATGCCACTAGCCACATGATTTAATTATGCTCTATTGTGTACAGTAAGAATTCGTTTCTGATTTAGAAATTCAGAGGGAACAAACGTTGGAGAGACGTCTGATGTGATTTTCAAAATCATTGGTTTAAATCTTCAGACATCTCATATTTTATTTTAATTTGTATTAGCTTTTTGTTGTTGAAATATTATTTCTTGATCAAGTATTTTGAACCACGTTTCAGGCTCACATGTAAAGCAAAGGGAAGGTGTTTGCATACCTTATCCGAATAGTAAGCTCACTTGGCTGCTGCAGGTTTGACTCGACACCTATTCAATCAGCTATTTAAGATTTCATTCAATTATGTGGCTACATTACATAGCAGCTTTCAATTCCTCATAGTTGCCAAAATCATTGTCGTTTTAAAAGTTTCAAGTTTTCAAATATTGCCAAAATGGCAACAACATGACATTAATGTCCGTATGATTTATTAAATGTGACATTCCATTGGCAATTTACTATATTGAGAGATTACTATTCTCTTAAAGTTGTAATAATACAGAGATCATTTGGGTTATTGGATGGCCAGATTAGATTAGCAGCAGAAAGTTCCATCGAAGAACCACATATCAAGTTCCGCTAAAAGGTAATATATTTTCATTATTATTTTATTCATGGGACACAAATTTTCTTGATGATAAATTTTGAGGGAGGTTATTTTTTTTAAGCTCAATCAAAAAGCTCATTGGCTTTTGTCTATACATACTCACGAGAGATATCCCCATTCAGTTGGCAAATTCTGAGCCTGTGAAAATGGAGTGATAGAATTTGGAATTAAGAGGTGGGGTTGCTGAAGAAGGCAATTGAGCGAGCAGTTTAAGTTATTCGATCAAAGCGGCGGGACTTTAATTTGAAGTCATTATATTTATTTTATGCAGAATATTTGGAGTATTTATTTTGTGCAACATTTCTATAATAATTATGAATAAATGTATACACTAAAAAAATATATTGAAAATGTATACACATGAAGTCCAAAATTATTACATTATTTTGCAAATTTCAAAACTACCAATATGGATACATGTAATTCATCATAATTTTAAGTATTCTGATTGTAGCTACATATTGGTACAAGTTATCATATTTCAAGTATTTTATTGTTGAATTTCCTAAATATTTAATTACATATTTTTTGCTAGATATATTTAATTCATTATAATATTTAACATATTAAATATTATAATTTTAGAGTGTAATATCTTTGAAATATATTGTGTGATAAGTTTC